CACCCTCCACCAGGATAACCCTTCACATCTGCCAAGTCCCTTCAGAAAATATCTTCCATTTTCCAACCCATGATCTGACAGCTTGTATCTTAAGCTTTCTTGGCTTCTGTGATTCCAAACACGTCAACTGCTGACATTTTTTTTCCTTTTGACCAGTGTCTCTTCAGTTTAGTTGTACTGTCTCCAAGAAAAGGTGACGTGTCCTGTAGAACTCCTGTGTAGATTATGTTTTCCTTTCGGCCCGAGGGCCCACCAGTTTTTTCTGGGTACCTGAAAGATGCCTCTTTGCTGTTATCCGAGGTGACCTTCCCCAATGCGCAGCCTCTTGGAGATGAAATCTTTTAAGTGGGGAAAGGACAAATTCTTTAAAAAATGGTGTGCTGGCATAATTGGAAAACCATCTGCAAAAAACTGAAGCAAGATACACATCTCACACCACACACAACCAAGAAAAGGTGAATCAGTGACATAGAAATCAAACCAAATACTATAAAATTCATCAAAGAAAAGCTAGGAACAACTTTGGTTTTGTGTACCATCGAGTCAGAACAGACCCATAGCTGACCCTCCACGGGGTTTTCAGAGGCAGTTAATCGCACCGGAGGAGATTGCCCAATCTACAGCATGAATAGGCTTCCATGCAAAATTGAAAACTTGCAACCAGTAGAGAACAGAATAAATGAATGGTACAATCTCAGAATCGAATCCCCATGAACATCAAAAAACTTCTTCAATAGAGTAAAAAGGAAACCTACAGATGGGGGAAAGTATTTGGCAATGACATATTTGATAAGGGATTCAAACCTAAAATGTATATAATAATCAAGTACCTCAAAAAAAAAAGTAAACAGGCCAAATGCAAAATGTGCACAGGATAAGAATAGACACTTCACCAAGGAAGAAAATCTGATGAAAAACACATGAAGAGATGTTCAAAATCCCTAGCTACCGATGAGATGCAAATCAAAAGAACTATGAGATATCATCTCACCCCAGCAACAATAGCGAAACCAACAGGATAGCCAACAACAATTGCTTATTCACTCTTATTCACTGCTGGTGGGAATGTAAAATGATACAAATTCTATGGAAGGCAGTCTGTAACGTCCTCAAAAATTTGGACATAGAAATACCATTTGATCCAGCAATTCCACTACTGGGAATATACCTTAAAGAAACCACAGTGGCAATTCAAACAGATGTATGCACCCCATGTTTATTGCTGTGTTACTCACAATAGCAAAGAGACAGAAGCAGCCCAAATGCCCATCAACAAACGAATGGTTAGAAAAACTGGAACAATGAAAGAGCAATTAACTCATAAAACACTACACAACATGGATGAGCCTGGAAGATACGCTCAGTGAAATATCTCAGTCACAAAAGCACAAATAACACTGCTATTATAAAATAGAACTGTTATAGGGAATTAATAGGAAATGGATAGATAGATATTGAACACTACATTAGAAAGTTGAGAAGAACTGTCTGGAAGGAATGTATGATTAAACATTATATTGTATGTCAACAATCTGCAACAAGAGGTGCATTGCAAAATGGATTAGGGGAGGGGAAAGGCAGAGAGAGGGAGGAAAATGTGCAAGAATGAATGGATGAATGAATGAAAGAATGAATGAAAACCCAACCTTTCTGTAAACTTTCATTAAAATTACACTTTAAAAATTACCCTCAAGCTCACTGCAATCGAGTTGAAACTGATTCATAGTCTGACTCAGAATTGAACCTCTACCATAAAAAAAAACAAAACAAAAAAAAAAAAAAAAAAACCCACAACTGTGAGGGAGCTCTGGTGGCCTAGTGGCAAGAAGCTGCACTGCAATCCCAGAGGTACGTGGTTCAAATATACCCGATGCTCTGCTGGAGAAGGAGGGGCAATCTCCTACTGTATCTGTCAGATCCAATTTGAGGGTACACACAAACAAAAATAATAAAATTTAAAAAAAAAAAAAAAACAAGGTGGGAAGCTGGGAGAAGGGCGGAGGCTGGAAGGAATCATGACCCGGCTGCGGGGAGACAGTGGGCCCCATGATTTCGTTACCCCAGGGGGCGCAGGGATTCGGGTCACAGGGGGCACTTGGAACTCACACCATCCGCTCCTCCCCAGCTTCAGCGGCAGCTGAAGGAGCGCTTCGGGAAGAGTCCTTTCCGGGACGAGGAGGAGATGCGCGCGCTGCTACCGCTGTGCAAGCGCCTCAGGCAGAGTTCCTCCCCTTCGGCCGCCTCCACCACGCCGTCCTCCGGAGTCGCAGAGGGAACCCTCCAGCGCCTGGTGCCGCGATCGCCCCGGGACAGCCACCGGCCCCTGCCGCTGCTGACACGCGTCAAGCAGACTTTCTCTTGCCTCCCGCGGTGTCTGTCCCGCAAGGGGGGCAAGTGAGGAGCTCACCCCGCGTGGCTCCCTCCTTTCTCCCTGCTGGTCCCCTGCGGAATCTCTGTGCCCGCTACCGCCACCCCAGGACCGGTCCAGAGCCCGTGGGAGCCCCTCGACGGCCTGCGCCCCTGGTGCCCCTGTCCCCCTGCTTCTGTGTCCATTAACTGTGTCTGTGTTGGGCCGGCCTGCTGCAGCCACCTGGTGCCTTAGTCCTCAGGCTTGGGAAGGGTCACTTGGGCCTCAACCCTTAAAGGCAGGAATGGAGGGTGTTGGTGGGGCGGGAGGGTGAAGGCCCACCAGGCCTGGAGGATAATAAAGAGATACAGAAGATATTAAAAAAAAATAAATAAATTTTAAAAAACCAACAAAAAACTGTGTTTGTTTGTGCTCATATGAAACCTATACCTAGATCAAAAGGCTGCTGTCCAAGCAGGGCAAAGGAACACAGCATGGTTTAAAATCAGGAAAGGTATGTGTCAGGATTGAATCTTTACTCCATCTATTCAATCTGTATGTTGAGCAAATCATTCAAGAAGCCAGACTCTATGAAGAGGAATACAGCATCAGGGTTAGATACAACTTTGCTTGCTGAACTTCAGGAGGACTTGAAACACTGCAAAGGACCAAAGACTATAACCTTCAATATGGATTGCATCTCAATATCAAACAAAGCAAAATTCTCACTATTGGACCAATAAACAGTATCATAATAGGTGAAGAAAAGATTGAAAATTGTCAATTATTTTCTCTCACTTGGATCCACAATCCATATATATCTCCAAATACCATAGCCTTGTACCAGCAATCAAGAGATATCTTATTGCGCAAGTCTCTGCTGTCAGGGACCTCTTCAAATTACTGAGGAGCAATTGTGTTAATTTGAAGACTAAGGTGTGTATGATACAAGTCATGGTCTTTGCAGTCACTTGCAAAGTCATTTGATAGCTGGACAAGGAGTAAGGGTGTTGTTGTTGTTGTTGTTGTTGTTGTTATGTGCCGTCGAGTCGCCTGCGACTCATAGCGATCCTATGTGAGTATGAGGAATAAGGGTGACCGAAGAAAAATCGATTCCTTTGAGTTATGATGTTGGAGAAAAGCATTGAATATCCCATGGACTGCCAAAAGGACAAACTGATACATGCACCAGAGTGCTCAGTAGAGGCACGGATGGCAAAACTTTGTCTCGCATATCCTAGACGTGTTGTTAGGAAAAGGTAGTCTTTGCAAAGAAATACCAAGGTTGGAAAGGTGGAGGGTCAGGAAAAGAGTAATGAGATGAACTGACATCGTGACTGCAGTAATTGGAGCAAATTTGTCAGAGACGATGAGGATGGCGCAGGACAGACAGGGTTCCTATTTGTTGTTCATAAAGTCATTATGAGTTGTACTCGACTTTATAGAACCTAACAACAACAGCAACATGCCCGAAATATTTAATACAAAGCCTCACTACTCTTGCTTGTACTCTGGCTGCACCTTCTCCAAGACATGTTTTTTGTCCTTTTGGCAATCCAAAGGAAAATTATGTATTCTTCTGCAACATCACAAGTCAAAAGCATGAATAATTCTTCTGTCATTCTTCTTTACTGACCAGCTCTCAGAGACACAGCAAGTGATTGAGAAGACCATGGCTTCTATCAGGCGCACCATAGTCCAAAATTAAATCATTGCTCCTTGGTAATTTGAAGAAAGCCCTGACAATAAACTTTCCCAATGTCTCCCCCCCCCCCCCCCCCCCAATGTCTTTTGATTTCTGAACTGCTGGGTTTTAATTGTTGATCCAAGTAAAATGAAGTTGCTGACAATTGGAGGGTCAGAGAAAGAGCCAAAGACCGTCAATAAGATGGATTAATACAGTAACTGCAGCAACGGTTTCGAGTGTATCTGAAATAAGGATGGTGCAGGGTAGGACTGGGTTTATATGTGCTGTCCATAGGATCGCTTTGAGTTGTAATCCACACACAAAGTATTTAATCCTATCACTGTGCTCTACCATGGGTAGTCAAATTATCTATCTCATACCAGCCTGTCTCTAGGGTCAGTAGCTGGCTCTCAGACCCTCCCGGATGCGACAGGACCGTGAGTCCAGTAATCACATGCCAGGCACAGGGTGTCAGGAGGCCGTTGGCAACGCCTGTTGCAAGGACCCTCCCTCTCCACGCGCCCGTCTTCCCCCCCCACCCCGCCCTGCGCTTGCGCGCTGTTTCCCAGCAGCCCTTGCATCGCTTTCCCGCTATTACGAACGAGAAGCGGTTTTCTGCTATTTTTAGTTGTACCTCAGGCCCACGTTTTGAACTACTGCTTTCCATATTCAAGTCCATCATCCCACCACCATGCAGCATAATTCTGGGGGGGGAAAGCAAGAGAAGAGGGACAAGCGGCTGTTTGATGTCGTGTCCTTCGGGAAGGACCTGTTTGCGGGTGGGGTGGCGGCAGCGGTGTCCAAGACGGCAGTGGCGCCCATCGAGCGGGTGAAGCTGCTGCTGCAGGTGCAGGCGTCGTCCAAGCAGATCAGCCCCGAGGCACAGTACAAAGGCATAATAGACTGCCTGGTGCGGATTCCTCGTGAGCAAGGTGCGTAAAGGTGCAAAGCACTGACCTCTCTGTTCCTCCGGGGAGGGGCCAGCCCAGCGGGGCCGGGGTACTTGGGCATACCAAGGCCTTGCTTGCCAGAAATCGGTTACATTCTTCACCTTCAATAATTACATTTTTTAACCAATTCCAGAAAAATTGTAAGGACAAGACCCAGAACAGTATCACCGGTGGGTGGAGGGAAGGGGGTAAAGGAAATGGGAAGGATACAGTGGGGATCTGAAAAGACTAGGTAATGGTGGGCATAGTTAAATGGTGATTAATTTCATAAACCACAATGAATGGGAATGATTGTATGTAACACAGTATATATTTTGTATGCAAGCCGATATAAAATAAAAATTCAATAATACAGAAGATAAACTGGAGAACCATGTACAGAACATACTAAGAAATGTAAAAATTAAAATACTGAGAGAAAGTGATGAAGAATGGATAATGCAAATTAAGGAGACTCAAATAAAGATGATAATATAAAAGATTAGCAACACCCATTTGATGATTGCTACAGGATACAGCAGGGTTCAGATCTGTTGTTCTTAGGGTCACTCTGAGTCATACTTGACTCCATGACACCTAACACCACCACCTCCTGAGTTGGGCAGTCTCCTCTCTTGACTTTTACAGCCTCCGAAAAACTACTGAAGGGTCATCTCTGAGTCAGTTCCGAATAGATGGTAATGAGTTGTAGAATTATTTAACTCCCAGTTTTAAAAGAGCTCTGGTAACTCAGAGGAAATTGTTCAGCAAAGGTGCCTCTGGCAGTTTGAGTCCACCAATTGTTCCACCTAAGAAAGGGAAGCTGTGATTCACAGCCTCCAGAAATTGCAGGAAGGTCAGCAATTTGCCGATTCAATAATGAGTTTTGTGGTCCTAGCAGGTGGTTTGTTTTGGATACTGCCACTGGGATGTAAGTCCCAAACAATACTAGAGTCTGGTGGAGAAAGGAAAATTGGTTAGTACTAATCCAGTCTTTATTTAAAGTTTTTATATTTTGTTATTTGTGCGACTAATACTGAAGTAATTTTAAGAACTAAATAATGAAAGTGCTCTGTGAATCAAGAATTGAGGTCTAAGCTGGTAGGGTAAATTTACCAGAAACTTTCCATTACCACTGTGTATAAACAAGAAGTGACTTCAACTCCAATGCCATCCTTTCTTCCACTTCTAGTCTGGTTACTCTTCCATAAAAAAAGAAGCATCTGGATCTAGAGAGATGATTAGAAAGTGTTTGCCTGTCCGGGGAAATGTATAGGACTAGAAACAGAATCTTAAAGAATCAATCACTTAATCTCTATTTAGAATGCACTTCTTGGCGCTGAGCTGACATTTCATAGTTTCCAAGATCACATTTTATCAGAGCAAATTTCTCATCCACCCTCTCATTTTGGAGGAATCTGTTGTCTTTTGCTTTATTCTAAAACCTCATCTGTCGAGGGACCATTTTTTATTGTTTATTATTAGTAAATCAGATTTCAGTATTTAAGTAAAATTAAATACAATGCCCCATATTTTTTCTGATTGTATTGTACGACCAAGTTTAATTTATATTTCAAATGTTATGTTTAATCATTAGCTCATTGATAGGCCACTTGTAAATTGAGATCCTTACAAATGTAACTCTTTACTGAACTTTACTATAATGCACTTGACAAGGTGAAGGTTATAGCAACTCTTCTGAGGCCATTTCTTCCCAATTGCACATGCTGACTTCTACGTTTCTGTGTCATATTTTGGGAATTATTAGAATGTTTCCATTTTTTCATGTTGTTGCATATATTTTTAAAGAGTATGTGGAAATTATCGAACAATATCATTGATATCACATGTAAGCAAGATTCTGCTGAAAATGATCCAAAAATGTTTGGAACAATATGTCAGCAGAGAACTTCCAGGTGTGCAGGCTGGATTTAGAAGAGGTCGTGGTACTAGGGATATTATAGCTAATGTTAGATTGATCTTGGCAGAAAGCAGAGAATACCAGAAGAATGTCTATCTGTGCTTCATTGACTGTGCAAAGGCTTTTAACTGTGTCAATCACAACAAGCTATGGCTGACTCTGAGAAGAATGGGAATCCCAGAACATTTGATTGTGCTAAGTGAAACCTGTACTTGGATCAAGAGGCAGTCATCAGAACAGAGCAGGGAGACACTGGATGGTTCAAAATCAAGAAGGGGGTCCGTCAGGGATGTATTTTGTCTCCATACCTTTTCAATCTGTATGCAGAACAGATCATCTGAGATGCTGGGCTGCAAAAGGAGGAATGTGGCATTAGGATTGGTGGAAGAATCATCAACAATCTGTGTTATGTGGATGATACAACCCTGCTTGCTGAAACTGAGGAGGACCTGAAGGGCTTGCTGCAGAAGGTCAAGGACTGCAGCCTTCAATATGGATTGAAGCTCAACATCAAGAAAACAAAGATTATCACCACTGGGCCAATTGGCAGCATTAGTATGGATGGTGAAGAGATTGAGATAGTTAACAGTTTTAGTTTACTTGGTTCTACAGTCAGTACTCTTGGTAACAGCAGCAAGGAAATCAGGAGACGAATTGCATTGAGAAAGTCAGCTGTAAGGGACCTCTCAAGAGTACTGAAGAACAACAACGTCAGGCTGGAGACTAAGGTAGGCCTGGTCCAGGCTATAGTCTTTGCAGTTACGTGCTATGCATTGGAGAGTTGGACATTGAATAGGGATGATAGAAAGAGAATTGATGCCTTTGAGCTGTGGTGCTGCAGAAGAGAGTTGAGTATACCATAGACTGCTAGGAGAACAAACAGGTTTGTTTGAGAGGGTGAAGCCAGAATGCTCCTTGGAGTCAAGGATTCTGAAGCTTCGTCTGACATACTTTGGGCATGTTGCAAGGAGGGACTGGTCCTTGGAGAGGGACATCATGTTTGGGAGAGTGGAGAGGAAGACCCTCGATGAGATGGATCGATTCTGTGAGTGGAGTGGTGGGAATGAGTGTGTTTGAGACAGTGAGCTTGGCACAGGATAGAATGGAATTTATGGCTCTTGTTACATAGGGTCACAATGAGTCACAAGTGACTCAATGGCACATAACAACAACAGTGTTGTTTTGGTTGTTATGTACCAGCAATTTGGAACCAAGCCATAGATGATCCTCCAGTGGGTTTTCATAGGCAGTAAATCACACTAAAGAAGATTGCCCCTTTTTCACCTGAGAAGAAACTGGTGAATTCTAACCCAGTGCCTTTGAAATGGCAGCATGACTCCCTACTACTAAGCCACTAGCGTTCCTTAAAAGATCATAGTATCATTTCATGTGCTCTGTTGTTATATACTATTGAATTAGAACCGACACATAGCTGACCCTCCAGCAGGTTTTCAGAGGCAGTTAATGGCACAGGAGGAGATTGCCCATCTTTCTCCCATGGAGTGGTGGTGGTGGATTTTTGTTGCATGTGGCAGCAGGCAGGCAGGCAGGTGGGGTTATGTACACTAAGAAACCCAAAATTGGCATAACTGTCTTTACTTCAGTATTGAGATTTTTTTGTGTGAATGGTGGTCTGGAACCGAACCTGAAATACGAGATATGCCTATAAGATTTGTATTACTGTTGCTGCTTTTTTTTAGTAGAACTTGTTTCCTATTACATAGAAGGCCGTGCTCTAACTACACTATGTTGTTATGTGCCTTCGAGTCACCTGCAACTCATAGCAACCCTATGCACAACAGCCCAAAACCCTGCTCTGTCCGTGCCATTCGTATTGTCTCTTACATACCTATCCTCATTACCCCAGTCACCGAGTCAGTCCACCTCATTGAGGGTCTTCCTCTCCTGCATTGTCCCTCCACCCTCTCAAGAAATACATCCCTCTCCAAGAATTGATCCTGCTTCTCAGCATGTCCAAAGTACGTCAGACGAGGCTTCAGAATCGTTGCCCCCAAAGAGCAGCCTGGCTTCACCCTCTCCAGGACAAACCTATTTGTTCTCCTAGCAGTCCATGGTATATTCAGTACTCCTCTCCAGCACCACAGCGCAAAGGCATCAATTCACCTTCCAACCCTAGTCATTGTCCAGCTCTCGATGCATAACAAGCAATTGTGAAGACTATGGCCTGCATCAGGCGCACCATAGTCTCCAGACTGACGACATTGCTCTTCAGTACTTTGGAGATGTCTCTACAGCAGACTTTTCAAATGCAGCTTGTCTTTTAATTTCTTGGCTGCTAGTACCAAGAATGCTGATTGTAGAGCCAAGAAAACGGAAGCTGATGATAATCTGAATCTCCATGAGTATATCTTTTATTAAAACAAAATAACACCAGTGCCATCAAGTCCGTTCTAACCCACAGCAACTCTGTATGACAGTGTAGAACTGCTACATAGAGTTTCCAAGGCTGTAATATTTATGAAAGCAAACTGTGACATCTTTGTCCCCTGGAGCAACCTGTAGCTTTGAACCATTGACTTTTAGATTAGCAGCCAAGCACTTAATCATTGTACCATGAGAGCTTCTTATCTTAGGCTAAGGGATCAGTAATTCTCAACAGGGGTAATGTTACCATCTATAGGGTATTTTTGGAAACTTGGAGAAATTTTTATTTACTACAAAGGTAAACCAGTTACTGTTGAAACAGTTCTGACTCTTGATGGCTCTGGTCCATAGAATTTTCAATAGCTTCTTTTTCAGAAGCAGCTTACTAGACTTTTCTTCTGAGTCATCTCTGGGTGGATTCAAGCCTTACAACTTTTTAACAGCAAAGTACTTTAATGTTTACACCATCTGTGGATGCTCTGGATGACATTTTGAGTGATCCAGGAAACATCGAAAGAAGATGGAGGGAATACACAGAGTCACTGTACCAAACAGAATTGGCCAACAAAAGCCGGTGGTAATGAAGGAAGAAGTTTAGACTTCACTGAAGGCATTGGCAAATAATAAAGCCCCAAGAATTGATGGGATAACAATGGATGTGCTCACCAGTTTATGCCAGGAAATTTGGAGGACACCA